TGTAGCTACATTTACTCCAGAGAAAATGACATTTAATTTATATATAAAACTAAGTAAATAATATTTGGATTTGTCCAATTCAGTTTCAAATTTTCATCGCGAGTTTGATACAAAATTCCACAAAATAATAACATTCTTCTAAAGAAGCGTATACCGTCAACAATGTTTTAATATCGATTTTCATCCAATGTACGTATGAAAAACGATATTACTTATACTATGGCCCAATATATTTACCCAGAACGTATGGGAAGTAGGGGCCAACCCTACAACCGCACATTTAACGTAACCTAAACCCAACCTGGACCGTTCGCGGTTTCATTTGTGTATTGTTTTCGACTACTGAGTTGCTCTCTCTGAGTAAACAAATGGAACGGAGGTTTTCTTTTGTATTCAATGTATCGAAAACAATTGTTTACCTTACTTTGCTTATGCAGACGTACTAACTCCGACAGAACCGATTTTCGTACAAAATTATGTGCACTTACTTAACAACAAAAGACTGCTATCCAATGCACCACCAGTAATGACATATATTCCGAATAAAAAATGATAGTGTAAATAGTAAGTATTTCTCTGATAGAAATAGGTTAAAATAATGGTTCTTATACGGGATTAAAAACCTAAAGTTCACTTAGATACATTATATTTACTACAGCAAATAGTAAATAATTATAATTCTTTTGTTGAAAATCAAATCTGACTTTTGTAATAGTCAAATCCACTTGACTATAAACTTAATCCTTTGAGTATTCAGCAATGAATAATATATATATCACTTCCATGTATTTGTAAAAAGTACCGAGATCGATATATCATGTTTTAATAAACATTTTCCCTTTATAATTTACTTTTTTTGTTATAAAATCATTTGAACTAAAAAATAACCGAAATATAAGTGTTTCTTCTACAACCGTTGATGTTGGCTCAAAATCGTCTAGCAGTTTTCGTAAATATAAGAAAAATTTCCGCAGAGCTCTTTGAGAGTTAATAAATAAAATAAATGTTAATAAATGAAACAGTCACAGAACTCTTTGAATGCAGAAAGTAAATATTTACCTAGCTTCCGTTGTTACAAGTCACAAACCTAAACACGATGCTTCCTACTTAATATAATATATACTTTTAAGATAAGTCCTACTTAATTTATCTACTTTTCATCTCTAGTTCCATCTTTAAAGTATGAAACGAAATAAACAAAAATCGATGCTCAATCCATTATCGTGAGCAATAAGAAGAAAGTTTATAAGATAAAAATTGTTTATGCACTTGATAAAAATTTATATAACAAAATTATTTTTAATACTCTGTGTATTCTTCACTATTTTATAAAATTTTTATCTTACGATTTGGAAGTGATTTGTGTAAATTTTTAACATATGTATTTATAGAGTACTTGTGACCTTATTCTTACTCAACAGTACTTTCAAGTCCTTAATATTTTCCATCTACCTTTATTGTCACATAAGAACTATTACAAATTGTGCTTAACAATTGTCAATTATATCCTGATCAAGAGATCTCTCCAATTACTGTAGGACACTTATTTTTTATTGATCCAAACAGTCGTACTCCCTTAAATAAACTCCAACGTCGTCATGTCGAAGTATTACATTTTTACCAGCGATTAGCATTGTAAATTTAAATCGTCGTATATCGATTAAATTTCTATTCATAAGGAGTATTTCAATACTCCGGTGGCACCTAAATTATCCAATAACAAAAGAATCTAATAATGGAAACCAGGACGTATTTACTTGGCAGTGATAAAATTACGCTGCTGCTGTTTATTGGATTGATTCCAACAGTTTTTCTTTTGTTTCTCCTAAACCTTCCATCTGGGTCAAATATTACAATCGATATGGTTTCTGATTCCAATTTCTATTTAGCGAGACGAGGAACTCAAATAGATTTTAAAAGCATGTCACCATTAACAAATTTTACGATGAAATCTATATCACCGCGTCTAAAAGGGAAATTAAATAGATATCAGACAAAATTAACTTCTTAAGTGATCAAAGCAAAATTAGCTCGATATTCATATTTACTAAGAAGAATTTCAATAACTGTATCATTATGTTAACGTGGATAATTGATCAACATATTAGTACTTGTTATAAGTCGTTTGCACTAAAAAATATTGACAATAACAACATAACTCAAATGACCACTTATTTCAATTATTTTGATGCATTATCGCAATTTTTAATTAGTAGTCTTCTGCTAGCGATCGATGTGAGTAAGCGGAGAAAATAAAGAATCATAATTTCAGAAATCCGTAATATTTCTGGCTCATCTCTACAAATTTAATCAACAATTTAAAGCAATTCGAGGTTATAAATCGTAAGTAATTATAAATGTACAGTTACTACAAATCAGGAATTCAATCAACTAATGACATTGTTTTTACGAACGAATATTACGTGATACTGCGAAATTCGACACGCCAACGTGACTACACTAAACTGTAA